CCCCCCCATTATGCTTGTTACCACAAACGGCCCCGTGAAATCTTTTGGCTAGAATTTGGCTAACTCGGGAACTGAGAAGGCTGGGAGTCTGGGATTTCAAGGGAATGTTCCCTGTCCAAGTATAGCATGGGTAATTAACTTTCCGAAATTTGAGTACCAGTATGTACAAGAGGTCTCTAGCTAGCGGAATTTGAGTGATCTTACTACAGCACGAAACACTGCAAAAAAGCATGATCGCACGAGCCCGCCCAGTGCACGTTGCCAATGATTAAAACTGGTTTTTTCAAAAAGCACAAGCTCTTTGATCCCGGAACACGCAGCAGAAAATGATAACCTGATATCGAGCACACAGTGCCAACGCGAAAATCGTGGGATCCTGCTTTGGAGCTCGGCCAGCAAGGGAGATATCGAGGATCTCGCGCAACATCATTAACCCCTGTCCTAAATACAATCTTGTGCAAATCACTTTATCTCCCAAAGCTCTTAAACAAATCTCTGTTATTAGCTTAGACTCAGTTTGTGACCTTCACAATCGAGCAGGCCGAAAGATCTTATTACACGATTTATACATCTCCAAATTCCATCGCCAGGAGCACAACATAATCGCTTTTAACTGCGGTTACGGCACCTCTGCAGTATATTGCTGCTAAAAACTTCTGTACAATTATCTCCAACCATAACTGATAACTGGTGGATGGTCACTGGGAAGCAGCGTATTGGGCAAGCTAATACCTAGGCTGACAGAACACACAGGCTGTGGTATATCTACTGCTCTCAAAAACCACGAGGAAACAAGAGAACGATCGCTAGTATCCCCAGAAATCAAATAATCACAAGGCGCTTTAATCACGGGAGCCACTGAAAAGACACAAATTGTAAAAATGCGACAAGATGTTTAAATAACCAGTGTAAGCCACTAAGTGGACAATACAAGCAAACCCCCCTCCCTCCCTTACAACTGCCTTTCAAAGACAGATCAAAGTGTTTTTGCAGTAGCCTAAATGTGAAATGGAAGAAAGTAACACGTTCGCTTCGAAAAAGATAACTGCCACTAATAAGTACCATTGTGGATAATCTGGCACAGTCGTTCAACCGATCTCATGGTGAGCTCCTTCTCCGTGACGTAGTAGGTGCCGCCAGTAGTGCCGAGTATCAGGAAACGCCTAACAAGTGACTCATCTGATATGCGGAACACGAAGCCGCCCGCATCATTCATCACCTGAAAAGCTGGGCACTTAACTATCTCTCAGTTTGACAGATAAGAATTCGGTCCCAAAAGCTCACTCGCGTGCTAATAGACAAAGAATAATTCGTTAGCGTACCGACTGCCACAGCGGAGTTGCTTTTTTTGGCAATTTCCTGGCAGGTTTTCTCGCTAACGGCACTGATTTCTCCAGCGGATGCTTCCAGCTTTGGCTATCAGAAATTATTGTAATTACTCGCATTACACTCGCTTTTGGCTATGCTCAAAGAAATTCAGCACCCTAGATATTTCGGTCGGACTGCCAGGTCAAATTTCACGTGTTAGTAAGTGAGGGGAACGAAAAGGTTTTTTAATGTGCACCAGCACAAACATTTTCGAGGGTCAAGCTCTAAAAACCTCGGCATCGCAGCTGCCTGGTTGTTGGACTACGTCGAATTCCACGTATTCGTACGTGGAAGAAAACGTGAAGGCCTTTTTTACAGACGTCTGTCCATAGTCGTGAGCCATATTCAAGATGTTTGAAGCTGCTTGGTTACGGGGACACGTCAAATTCAATGCGATCGTACGTGGAGGGGAAGCTGAATTCTTTTTTACGTATCCCTGCTCAAACACGTCTCTGGACCATTCTCAGGAAATTTCAAAGCTCGCTGTTTTCATGTACCACTTCGTTAAACGCCGCCGTCGGCGACGCCTGAAAAGTTTTGGCCCCCTAGCTGCTTCAGTTCTGAAGTTACAAAATTGTCCACGTCAAATTTCATGAGTACGCACGCGAGAGAGGGGCTGGAAAGCTTAACTTACTTTCACGGGCACATCAGCAAGCTACAAGCACGGCTGCAAAATTACAGCTTTCTACAACTTAACAGTTTAATCCTCGAGCTGGCACGATGCCAATTTTAACGTTGACGTGACTGTACATAACACTTAAAACTGCGTAAAGGCTGAGTTTTTTTCATTCTGACAAAGAGGTCCGTACATAGGTACAGATTAAGTTGTCAAAGTTTCAGCCTTGTAGCTTTTGTTAGTCTGAAGACGAAAACCAGGTATAGACGCAGACAGAGACACACAACGACAACCCCTCAGCAATATACGTCTTTGCATTGCAAGGTGCAGAAAACGCACAAAAACTCATGACAAACTTAGATACGAAATAACCTGGTCAGCTCGAACGGGCACCATTTGGCCAGGAACATGCCCCTCTCCGGCCGGCTGCTCGTCTTGCTTGAATGCGAACTTAGCGAGGTTGTTGTACACTTCTTCGAATTCCTTTGTACCAAACTTCGAGTCGGACCCAACAAGTAGGTCTTTCAAACTTTCCATTCCCAAAATACTGAATTGAAAAGAAAAAATATTTTTGAAGGAAGCCAAGCCCAGGAACAACGAACACGAAAAAATAGCAGGAGCCACAAGTTAGCATTAGCAAGGCAGATGCACCGCATCCGAATGAAAAGTATAAATAATTCGTGATCTTAACTGGGAATTCTGGAACTGCTAGAACCAATAAAATCTCAAAATGGCTGAAGCCTTTGCTAAGTACTTTCGTCGGAAAGCTGTGATGGCATACTTTTTAGCAAACGAAACGAACATCAGCAGCGCGAACAGGTTAGTCACAAGCAATGCAATACTGGTGGAAACAATTATAACCCAGGCTGGAAAACACCAGGCGAACTGGTACGATCATGCGCTTTGGCACCAAACTTGAATTAGGTTAACTGCATGAATGGTTGCCCTTATTACGAAGGTTAGCTATTATAGTACATCGGATCCTCGCGCATCTTGGGACCCAATTCCAAAACTACTGTAATAAGTCTGCCCAACGTACAGGTGATAGATTATACTTTAGCGTGCCAAATTCACAAGCAGTACTCCACAGGTTGCATGCTTTCGCTTCCGTCATTAGTCATCTCTACTCTGCGGACTTTAGCAATCTCTTCACAAACTTGCCATATACCGAGATTGCCAACAATTTGAATTATTTGATACACCTATGTTTCTCAAACGCGTTTAAGGAATACGTGGCTGTTGGGTTCAAATCAATATGGTTCACTAATGAAATACGTACTGATTTGCCGTGTTACACTAAAGACGAAGTCAAGGCGATCCTGCGTATCATACTCTCCGAAACTTACGTCAGGTTTTGAGGGTACCTGTTCAAACAGATACAAGGTGTCCCCATGAATGGAAATTCTAGCGCCGACATCGCGGATTTGACGCCATCCGTGATGGAATTCCGTTATATTCGTAGACATCCGAATACTATAATTTGCTTCTTCCGCTACACTGACGATATTCTGGCTATCAATTGCCCGGATTCTCCTGACTACGCCAAAGAGATTTATGGAACTACGCTTACATTAAATACTACTTAGTCCGGACCGTACGCCTGTTTTCTTGACCTGGCAATCAGCTGTGTTGACGAACAGTGCACGTTTGATGTTTACAACAAAACTCTGGATTATCCCTTTCCCGTCAACCAAGCCAGCCACTCTGATAGTGATGTTGACACCGCTATTCATGATGGCACAATTATGTCCCAGATGCTCCGCTATGCTAGAATTTGCGGCACAACCCACAGATTCACGTGGTGGGCCAGACGACTCAGTAAAATCTGTGTCTGTCAGGGATATGATGCTAATAGAATCCAAAGAGTTCTTTTAAAATTGTTCCCGGAATCGTGCGATTCTAAGCAAATTCATTGACGTGGATAACGAGGAAATTACAAATCTCTGCCATTCCGCAATGAACTTTCCAGCACAATGGGGACACCACTGTTCGGATTCAGTTTTCACTGATAGAACGTACAGGCGCTTGATTTGACGAGGTTTATGGTTTGTAGCTAAAATGGCACTATCAAAGAACGGGTTTATGTGGGAGGTGCTTTTATGAATTTTTCGTGCTCAGCCTAAATTTTGTTCATGCTTCATAGTGATACCTGAACACCAGGCTTACGTTACGACCATGCGTTTTTTGCGTTAAGCCTGAAGCAGTCGGGTCGTTAGCTGTATCAGTGATTGTTTTGAAACACTTAATTTTTGCACTTATCACCGTAAATTTTCCGTTGGGAAAATGAAAAATTTCAGCCTCCAGCTTTTCTGGTTCCCGAGTTAGTCATTTTCTCGCCAAAAAGTTTAATGGGGCCGTACGTGAGAACCACGTATGTCTGGGAGCTGAATTTGATAAATTTAAGCTGTACTTGGGCGGTGAACATTCCCTTAAAATTTCAGCATTCTAGCTTTCCTGGTCCCCAAGTTGGCGATTTTCCCGCCAGGAACCCTCGCGGAGCCGTAAATGGGGAACACGCAAAAACCTGGGGGCGGAATTTGAAACCTTTGAGTTATATGTGGACGGAAAAAATAAATTTCAACTTTCTAGCTTTTCTGGTTAGCGATTTTCCTACCAAAATTTTCACGTGCTAGTAAGCGAGGGTCCATACGTGCGTGTGAGTTGGTATCGCGGTCCTAGAGCAGCACTTGACCAAGGAGCACCTCGACAAAATTTTGACGCCGGAGCTTGCTTGGCTGTTGAATTGAAATACTCGGACAGATGAACACACACATGCAAACATACACATAGACAAGGTCGTCGCAACATGCATTTTTTGCAATTTGCATATAAGCAAAAACACACGAAAATACAGCTTGAATAACAAGCTGTAAATAATTAGCCCTCCGGTAGCCCAAAATGACAGTAACATCCTGGCAAACCGCGAAAGAAGAGTTACGACGAAAAATGAATAATTATTAAAACTTGACTCTGCCACGCAGTATGCACTCAATCCCGGGTTGGGAAAACCGTGTAATCGAGTTTTCATGCGTTTTTGTGCGCTTTTGCGGTAAAGCTACAACAGGAAGCAAAAGCGCATATTGCGACGGCCTTGTCTGTGTGTGTATGTTTGTTTATATCTGTTCGTCTCTCCAGGGATTTCTACTCGCCAACCGCGCAAGCTTTGGTGCTGAATTTTTTTGCCAGTGCGTACGCTAGCGAAGTACGTCCCCAGAGACCTGATCTCAACTGTCGCGCATATCTACGCCTCACGTGTGGATAAGTAAAAGGTCTGGCGGGAAAATTGCTGACTTGGGAGCAAAAGAAGCTAGGAAGTTGAAAATTTAGAGGAATGTTCGCTACTCATGCATGACCAAAAGACTCTAAGTTCAGCTCCGCAGAACCTCTCGTTGGCAAATGAATGCTTCGGTAGGAAAACTGTTAACTCATGTATGAGAAAAGCGGCAAGGCTTTTCTCATACATGAGTTAACAGTTTTCTTTAAGAGAATGTTCCGTACTCGTGTGCAACTAAAAGATTTCAAATTCTAATTTTCCAGTGGGTTTTTTTCGCGCACCAGCAACTGTGATTGCGATTTCTTGCCGCAATCTTGCTATAACACGAAATAGTGCAAAAACTCATGACCGCACCGGCCCGCCTGGTGCATCCCAGCCTGAGGTGCATATTATGCAAATGCAAAAACGCATATTGTGATAAACCATCATTATATATATGTGTGTGTTTGTGTGTGTGCGTTTGTCCGGGAATTACAACCCGATAAACAGATAAGCTTTGTTGCTGAAATTTTGTCGGTGGTTTCCCTGCCCCAGGAGAGCCATTGTTTTGTCGCGAAAACTGCTAACTCGGGAACCGAGAAAAGCTTGAAAGTTGAAATTTTAAGATGTTTCCAGTACATGCACAGTTTAAAGATTGCAAATTCATTCCCAAGCATGCTTATTTCTCACCTACGGCGCGCGAAATTTTGGCGGGAAAGTTGGTAGTTCGAGAAACAGAGAAGGTGTTGAAATTTTTGAAGAAATGCCCTCTGTCCATGTATAATTTAAAGATTTCAAATTCAGTTCCTGAACTCGCCTGTCCTCATCTATGACAGGAAAATTCATTCGAGAACTGGATCATTTTCAATGAACGGCCGGTTGACGGAAATTATTCATTTTCTCCAATGGAAGATTTACGGTGATAAGTGCAAAAGTTAAGTGTATCACAACAATCACTAATACAGCTAACTTCCCGACTGCTTCAGGCTTAACGCAAAAAAACGCATGGTCGCAGCGTAAGCCCGGTGTGTCACAGCCTAGATTTGTATAAGCAAAATTTCAGGTGTCACTATCAAGACTACCAAATTCCTCTCAGCATTAACAAAATTTAGGCTGAACACGAAAAATTCATAAGAGCACCTCCTACATAAACCCAGTCTTTGTTACCAATTCTCACCTTCAAGCGGGATCTCAACTTCTTTACAGCAAATAGTGCTGCCCCTCACTCCTTTACGATCTCCGAGACCCGAACTATCACCCCGCCTTCATTTCCTCACCGTCAGCCCCCACTTTCTACTCCTCAGTCCCCAGTCATTGAAGGTCGCTTCCCAACGAGTTCTAGTAGTTGACCAGAAATATTTGGCCGAATACCATTTTCAGATAGCAGAGGAATTTTGGCATATCACGTCGCGTAGTGGTATTCTTGACTCCTCTTGTAGTTTTTGCTCCAGCGATTCTGGTGGGCTTGGCTGTCTCATCGCGGAAATCGAACGAGCAGCAGCCACGTGCTGGCCAGCTGGTCACATGGATGCATCTGAGGTTACACTGAGAAGCTCGCTGGCCTTTTATGATCATAAGCAGATCCAGGGCGGTATCTAGGAAGGGGAAGGCGACCGAAGGGAGGGGGGACGACAGATGGTATCGAAAAGAGCTTTCTACAGAAAAACAGTTTCCACCTGAGCTCCTGGGGGAGGCGAAAGATCCCTTCCCCTCCCCTTCCCCCCACCAATGACCCGTCAATGGTTATGACTGACCGATACGAGAGTCCGTCCTTGCCTCAAATGATTTGTCTTTTGTCAGCTATCTGCTGGTGTGGGAAGTACCCCGATCTCCGTTATTTACAGTATCATTTCGAATAATGATCTTTTGCACCGCCGTCAAACGTCGCTTTCCCTGTCCTCCTCGTCCCCAATCAGCCAGCACGCGTTTTGAGACTAGTACATGGCCAAGACCTACTGAAATGGTATCAATGAGCTTCTTCAGTACACCTCGGTATAACCCCGCCCTTTCTCCCTCCGTTTTTTCTTTCCCTTACACCTCCAACAGCAGATTAGCACAATACTGCACGTCGCATATTGCGCTCGATCAACAGGAGCGCACACGTAAAAAACGATGACGCACCAACGGGCACGAATTTAACACACAGTTCATCCGACGAAGAACAGATGAGGAAAACACACAAACGTCGCACACATATATACATCCACAATGACTGCTTAGATCACCTCCTAGACCTTCATATAGGGTCCTGGATTGCACAACACTGATGCAGTGTTGTGTATGG